TTAACTCTGTGCCTATATTGACTATATATAAAGTGTTTTTCCCACGGCACACCTTACACTATGTCACGGCACACTAGTGTGCCACGGCACAGTGGTTGAAAAACACTGGTTTAGATGGAGGTGTAAGCTTTTCAGATGCTGGTTTTATGCTGACCCCTTGTGTCCATCTAAAGAATTGCACAAGACACCTTTAACCTTTTCTTAAAAGGCCTGTCTTTCATGAAGACCCTCTGATCGAGGGAGCATCCCAAGAAGTAAGTACTTGGGTAGTGGCCATCAGGAAGACCATTGTTATTTTGAGGAATTTAGTGACATATTTTGAATTCTCTTTCATCTTAAGAAAAAGCCTAGAGGTTTAGAGCTCTTTCTTGAGCTAGCCTGCTTGTTTTTTTATTCTTGTTTCCTGGATCTTATAACTCTACTACTCACAGTGAAAGTCTCAGGCTTTTGATTGCCATCCCAGAATCATGTACCACCAGTCAAGGTCAGGCCTTGCAATCTTCTGATCATAGCAGGGCTATGAAGTCATGGTGCCACACTTTGATAAAAACCTGGGGGGGGGGGGGTTGTTGTTTGTTTGGAACTTCAGCATGGAACCTAGCACTAAGTACCATGGAAATTGGCCACTCTTGGGACATTTCTGCTGTCATTATTAATGACAACTTGAAATAAATTTTGGTAATATTTTCCTTGGTATATATGCTTTTTATGTTATGCTTTCACACGTTTGCTGGAGTTAATAATATAGCTTAAAATCCCTATAGAAGTTTCATTGTCTTCTGGAAGCCAAAGAACCAATTGCTTAGGCAACTGATCACTTTTGCCAAATTTGGCAAAACATGTTGTAATGCCTGGTTTTGCCAACATTAGACAGCAGATGCTAAACATTTGCTCCCAAGTCAGTAAATTTTGGACAATATCTACTTCAAAATTATGGACTAGACTCAAGTCTTGGAGGAACTTGCTGGGTAACATCCCTAACAGCTAAAGCATGGCCTCCTTGTAACATCTGAATAAATTCTGGAATTCATATTTAGAATCCTGAACTTCTGTACTTTGGGTACTTTGATTGGATATCTAATCGAAACCATTTAGTGAAATAAATAATTTCTTTCTCTATCCCTTCATCTCTCTCTGTGTGTCCTGTCTCTTAGAGCATGCCAAATTTCTTTGTCCTTACCCTCCAGTGTTTACCTTCAGCATCCGAGCTGCCACAGATACAATCTGAGGAAAGTAGCTGATGTTGGGGCGAAATTTCTCTTGCATGTCACACAGGAACAAGATGCTTGATTTGGGAACCACTTTTCCAAGCCGTGCCAGGGACATTTCCAAGCTGAGACCAGATTGAGATATTAGAAGATCCTGAAACTTTCTTTTTGCTATTTTATTAAATATATATATTTGCTTGTTTTAAAGCCGTACAATTTATTTTGGTAACCTCAACAAAAACTCTATGCATATGTAAAAGAGTTATATACATAATGGGTAAGATCCAAATGTAGTTGTACAAAATCAACTGTTTTTTAAATATTTATTCATAAATTTCAAATGTGTATTCATTCACCATATATTTACAAGCAATTCAAAGTGTTGGGTTATTGCCTTTAAAGCTCTGCATGGCATGGATCTTAAGGAACCATCTCATCCCAATGGGACTGGCCCACCCCATCTGCGCTGACAGGAGGCCTGCTGTGGTACCCATCAGTCAATGAATTTTGGCTGGCAGCGTCTAAGAGAAGGGCCTTCTTTACTGTGGCTCTTGCCTTCGGGAACATCTTAGTTCCTGAGTTGAGATCAGCTGCCAGCCTGATTGTGATTCCATTTCTATCGTTTTAGAAATAGTTATCTTTAAGGTTTTAATGCTTTTAATGCTGTGTGCCTCCCAGAGTTGCTTTAAAAAGAGATGGGTGGCAAATATATCTAATAAAAAATATTTTTAGACTGCTCAACTCCAAAGTAATTTGTGGAAGCTTCACAATTATTATTAGCTCACTCAAGCTAGTATAGGATTAAGAGCTCCTTACCTGATAATTATAGACCGTAGGCTGCCACACTGGTCCAATGTGGGTTGGTAATTTTTATTTTATTTTTAATTTCCCAATCTAGGGCAGAGTGAGAGAATAACTGGCTCATAGTCACTGGTCAGCTTCTGTGCTTAAGGGAAGATTAGGTTTTCCTCACTTCTAGTTCAGCACCTGAACTGCTCCATCACACTGATTCTCATGTAACTATCTCATAATTTGGGCTTCAAGTCCCATAATTGCTCCATTGAGATTTTCTGGAGTTTTCCATATTTTTGCTAGTGAATGTTAACAGACTTTCGTATTGATGCTATTGATACATAAAGAGAGTCAGACTGAACAAATACAAACTGTTTTTTATTTCATTTTATGTGTCATCCCACATGCAATCCTACCACCATCCTTAAGAATGCTTTAACGAAGAACTTGTCCTCAGGAACACATTGAATGCTATCCGAACTGAGAGGGCCATCACCTGCCATTATATTGTCAATCATTTACTGTTTTCTATACGTGCAGTTGCCTTGGTAATAATATAGAAACCTCTGCCTTTTCCTGTGCAGTATAAATTGCGGCCTTTGCTGTTGTCACTAATAATCTGTTTCCAGCATCTTCCTATATTTCTGCTACCCAACACACCAACCAGATGGCACCCTCACAGCTTTAAGCTTAAGTGGTCCACCGTGAACCTCACCCCATTCCTAAGAGGCCTGTAAAGGGGGCGTGCATAAGCGCACCAGCATGCCTAACAAACCGGTCCTACTGTCCCCATCTATTTGCATTCATTTCCTTTGTTCATGTCCATGCTCATACGTAGACCTGCTATCTTGTACGTGTTTGACAAAGTAATAAAATAAAATTTAAAAAATCATTAAAAATCCAAACTGATGCTCAAACTTGCTTATTTCTTCTGGGAACTGAAAGCTCGACCTGCATTTCTTTAACTACCATAATTAAATAGGATTCCTCCCCCCGCACCCCATGTGCTTAATTTAGGCTGTCATTGGGAGAAAGAAAAACACGGAAGGTGGCAGTTCTCTCCGCAGTCCGCAGTCAGTTCAGGCTTCACCCTGCCACCCACAGCTACCAATGCAAAGCGCCTGCCGCATAGGGCCTGAGCCTTCCAGTGTGAGGTCGGTTAGGCGCCACGTAAGTGCTTTGCTTTGCCCAGGCCCTCATAAAGGCTTCACCCACCTCTCCGCGGAAAACTCACCTTTCTACTGCTCTCTGGGGCCACTGCGAACTGCTAGCCAATCAGAAGCGGAATCGCTCTCACACGCCTCCCTCCAGCCACGCCTTCAGAACAGCCACTGGCCGCCAGTGATCTGGCTCTTGATGTCCTTTGCCTTCAGCCAATGTCGTCGCTCCTTCAGGCTCCACGCGCAGCCGTATTGAGACGCCACGTTCTAAACAAAAAAACAAAAAAACCAACCCACCTCTAATCAGGAAGTCAAGGAAAAATGTAGTTTTTGAACTGAGCTGGTTGGCCGGAGGGCGGCGCGCGTGAAGAAACATGCAGTGCAAGGCGCATGTGTGATAGATGGATAGCTAGGTGTAGAGTTATACAAAGCTGGCTATACAGTAGTTAATTTAAATGTTCTTGAACTGCTGTCTTTAAGAAGAGGAGAACTGTTGATGGTGCCCTAGATTCCAGAAAGTTAAAAAACTTCATTTGAGGTTTAATGTTGAAGTGGCACTCATCTACTACCATTTGTCTGGGACTAAGCTACATTGATCCCAGCTTCTGAGTGGAAATCCCATTCCCAGTGAGTGTACACAGGCAGCCCTCAATTTACTAAATCTGGGATATAAATAAATATGTTTAGTTCAAAATATCTAAATATCATTACTCTCCAATGAAGCTGATTACTAGTTATTACTTATTTGTCCAAGACTTTGTAAGAGAACTCACTCAATAAAATGAAGAGAGAACTAAATATTTATAACACATGAGTCAAGTCTAAATGACAAAAATCATAGTGGCTGGAAGTGGCAAGAGTTCTTAATAATATTAGCAGAGCCTTTCTGTCTCAGAGTAAGGGGCATTTTAGTCCAGCACTTCGTTTCTTACAAAGGGCTACCAGTGTCTCACACAAAAGTCTCTCTCAAGCTCTTCTACTGGTAGCATTTGAAGCCACGCAATTCCCTTTTATGAGCCATCCCAGTTGACATATATCTTGAGTATGCGTTGTGTGAAGTAGTTCATTTCTAAATCTCCCTGTTTCAGTGGGTTAAGAATTTCCTCTGGCCACTTTATCCACACCAGACATGATTTTGTATATTTTGTGTCCTTCAGTTGCCTTCTTCTAAGCTAAGGAGTGAGACCCATTTGTTCTGATGATGATTATGTGCCATCAGTCAGTACTGACTCTTAGAAATTGTGTAGTTAGTTTTTCTTCAAGATGATCCATCCCCAAATCTTGTCTTCCAGTGATGTATCTACTACTACTGTGAGTCCACCCACCTTGCTGCTCGTTGTCCTCTTTCCAGATGTTCAAATCTTCTGGAAGCTTGGAAGTTTATTGACATTGGTATGCCGCCCACTCCCAAGGGACTCTGGGCGGCTTACAGATAAACAAGGGAATATAAAAATTAAAAATAGAAGTACAATTGTTTAAAAATTCACAACATACATACCGCTTAAAATGGGGCTGGATGCTAATCAACAGCCCCAGGCCTGCCGGAACAGCCAGGTCTTAGTAGCTTTACGGAAGGCTGGAAGAGTAGTGAGGGTCCGGATCTCAACGGGAAGATCATTCCATAGGGCCGGGGCAGCAACGGAGAAGGCCCTCCCCCGGGGGGGTCGCCAGCCGACATTGACCAGCCGATAGCACCCGGAGGAGGCCCAATCTGTGTGATCTTATCGGTCTTTGGGAGGTAAATGGCAGGAGGCAATCTCTCAGGTAGCCAGGTCCTAGAGAAGATAGTTCTACTCTCTTCCACCACCACCCCACTTCCTACCTTCCTGTAGATCTGTTTTCGGATGCTAAGATTCAGAGATACAGATTTGATTTGTAATAAGGGCGTTCTGATTTTTGCCATCCCTTTCCTAGTCATTTCAGGCATGGAATGTGCATTTATTCCACAGCTGCTAGACCCTGAGTTAACATTTTTGTTAAGTTATTTGTTATGATTCCAGCAACTTTCCTCACTGGTTGCAGGTCGTTCCCATCATTGTGATGTGCTGATAGAACAGATTGCTCCAAAAATGCTTCACATTACCATTACTTAACTACTTTGCCCTTTGTTCGTTGCTCCAGTTTAAGAGATCTCTCTGGAGTTCTTCACAATCAATTTTATTTTTTACCAACCTGAATAATTTAGTATCATTCACAAATTTGGCCAGCTCACTGCTTACCCTTGTCAATATAATTTTTATCTCAATAAAAAAAGCATCAGGCCTTCCATTGAGAAAATTATCTGTTTAGTTTTACCATTTGCTGGTTCCATGCCATAAAAGAACAGATCCTTTTATTCCATAACCGGTATGTTTATTCAAGAACCTTTCTAAAGACATGAAAGTTTTTTTAAATCTAATAATAGAATGCTGGAGAGATCTTTTCGGTACACCTGCATCAGGCATGAAGTGCTATTATCTTTGTTACTGGTTCGGAACTGGGAGCGTGTGCGTGCAGCCCTTCTGTGCATGCGCAAAAGCTTCTGTGCATGCGCAGAGCGTCCGTGATGATGTCTGGGTGGGTGGGTGGAGCCTCTTGCCACTGCCACTACCGGTTTGCCCGAACTGGGGAGAACCAGCAGAATACTACTCTGGTCTGCATTGAATAACTTTTATTACTCATTTATTTACTATACTTTTCTATATATACATTAATTGTTCTAAGGTATTCTGCTGTATCTAAACTAAGATTATACCCTCCAGTGCAGATTGTGTGTTTATTTGATTTTAGCTGAGCTTTTTTTCCCCCTAATAATATGCCATCTCAAGACAAACAATAGTGGAAAGCCTACGTACAATAAATTAAAATGTGGATTGATACACCTCTTCAGAATGGGTCTCACGGCCTGGCAGATTAAGATGTTTATGTTGGCTTTGTAAACTTTAGTCTTTTAAGTATCGTTTGTCCTCTGAATATTTTCAGAAATGGTGTGGAGGCTCCAAGGCAGTGTTTCTAAACCTTGGTGACTTTAAGTCCTGTGGACTTCAACTCCCAGAATCCCCCAGCCAGCATAGCTTGAGGTTGAGAAACATGCTCCAAGGGATAACAAAAATCATCCTAATCAAAGTGCTAAAAATAATGCAACTTTTTGTGCAAATACGATAATCTTATGAATGTGAATTAGTATAGTAAGATCTTTACAAAAATATACTGTATTCTAAGTAATCACGGCAATGATGCCAAATATAGTTTCACCACAGTGTCTGTGATACCAATCTATTTTTTCCTTCTCCAGAATGGGAAGGCCACTAATATAACTTCTGGATGCAGCTTTGAGGGAAAGTTTTATTGCCTTCATCTTCTACATCATCTTCTTGAACATTTGAATTAAAGTCAGGTTCTATATCTAATTAATAAATACAAATTTAATCCTTTTTACCTGCAAGGCTCTGCATTGGTAAATGATTGGTCTGTGCATAGTTTGCCAAATTCCAAAAACAGAAATCCCAATATCAGAGGAAAGAACTACCATAGTGGATAATAGAGATAATCCTCGACTTACGACCACAATTGATCCCAAAATTTATGTTGCTAAGTGAAACAATTGACTTTTGCCTCATTTTGTGACCTTTCTTGCCACATTTGTTAAGTGAATCACTACAGTTGTTAAATTAGTTACACAGTTAAGTGAATGTAAGCTGTGGTGGTGCAGTGTTTAGAATGCAGGATTACAGGCTAACTCACTGTTCACTATCAGAAGTTCGATTCTGACGGGCTCAAGGTTGACTCAGCCTTCCATCCTTCTGAGGTCAGTAAAATGAGGACTGTTGAGGATAATATGCTCACTCTCTTAACCGTTTAGAGAGGGCTGTAAAGCACTGTGAAGCAGTATAAAAATCTAAGTGCTATTGCTATTGCTAATCTGGCTTCCCCATTGACTTTGCTTGTCAGAAAGTTGCAAAAAGGGATCACTGGGATACTACAATCATCATAAATATGAGTCAGTTGCCAAGCATCTGATTTTTGATCACCTGATCATGGGGATGCCGTAACAGTTGTGTGAAAAACAATCATAAATCACCTTTTTCAGTGCTGTTGTAACTACCTGTAACTGGCTAGTAATAAGTAGATAAGAACCACAAAAACATGCCAGAAGCTGCATTGTCCTGTTGAAATAAATGTCCTTCTGGGTTCGGCTCCAAGTGGGGAAAAAGACACTGGAGACATGGAGGTTGCTTGGAAAGATGGTTTATTGGTGGACAGGACCACATGGCTTGAGCCCTGAACAGAAAAGGTGATCATATGCTTCAATGTTGAGCCAATATTATCATGCTTTAATCCCCAGCTGAAGTGGAGAAGTCTTTATTATGTAAAGGGACAAGCTTGGCCTTCTTAATGGCCCATTGACAAAGTGGGGACGGGCAGGAAGCTACAGGCAGCTATTCTGTCTTTTAAAACACGTTTCTTTCTTTTCACATCCAGAGAAATATTCTGCCTTTTCAATATTTCCTAGGATATTTCATTTTTCTGGGAGAGGGCTGGGTGATAACTTCCTACAATCCAAAATAAGGCAATCACAGTGTACAATAAAAACAAGAATGAATTTAATTAGTATTTGATTATGGTTGCAATGATTGCTACCTGCATATTTAATATTTCTCCCTTTTGCCACATTGAAAAGTTTCTATGGAGTGGTGTAGCCTTGATAATAAAAACTATTACAATTGGGAAATAACTCTCTGGGGAGCTTTGATAGCTGCAGCATGTGCACTTTTACGCTGCCCTCCATGAATTATAATATGAGTTGTTTCTTGGCTAAGGAAAAGCCTTATATCGCAGCCTTTTGCCAATCTGGATCCTCCAGATTTGCTGGCATTGAATTCCTAGACCAGAGGTCTTCAAACTTGGCAACTTTAAGACTTGTGGACTTCAACTCCCAGAATTCTCTGGGAGAATTTGTTTAGTAAAATCTTGGAAGCCAGCCCCAATCCTGTTCTGGCAGTTTCCAAAGAGCAAAGATAATAACCCTTCATGAAGATGATATATTTATCAAAGAGCAGGCTCTTATGTT